TAAGGTAATCCCAGCTACTCAGGAGGCTGAGGCAGAAGAATCGCTTGAACCCAGGAGACAGAGGTTGCAGTGAGCCAAGGTGGTGCCACTGCACTCCAGCCTAGGTGACAGAGTGAGACTTTGTCAAAAAAATAAAAAGAGAGAGAGAGAGAAAGAAGGAGGGAAGAAAGAAAGAGAAAGAAAGAAAGAAAGAAAGAAAGAAAGAAAGAAAGAAAGAAAGAAAGAAAGAAAGAATTAAAGAAAGAAATGTTTGTTGTAGGGATTATATTAAGGTAAAGTTAATTGTTCTTTTGATCAACCCCAAATTCCTTAATAACTGAAACAATAGAACTGACTTTTTTTTTTTAAATTTATGACAAGTCCAAAACAGTATTACTATATAGTGAATATAAAAAAAATCCATGAGGTGATATAGTGACTTGGGCTACTTCTGTCAAAGATTACACTGGACCTATCAAACTGACAAGAAAGACTTTATTCAAGACCATAGCAATACATGCCAACATTATTGCAGTCAGAGAAGGATAATAAATTCAATGCCATTGAAATGAAAGGAGAGAAGAGTAAGCACTCTGATGAGGGAGTGAAGGAGTGCTAGAGTCAGTGTGGTCAATGTGATTAGCCCATTTGCATTTGCTGTTTGTGCTTACTGAAGTTAGACTCCTACATTCCCACAGAGGTAGGGACTCTATCTGTCTTCATGATTGCATTTCAAAGGGATGGCTCTCAGGTTTTTGAGAAAGACATTCCTGGGTTGTAGAAAATTTGCTCTCAAAGAGGTAGAGAAAGAATTAGTAATTGCAAATTTTTTGAACACCCTAAGGAAAGAGGTTGGAAGCGTCAGTCAGGAAGAAGCCTGTCTAAATCTGTCTAAAGTTTGTCAAACTGAAGGAAGCTTTATGGCTATCTTGGTTACTTTTTGAATTTTTTTTTGAAAAATTGGTTACTTTTGAAATTTTTTATATCATCTACACATAGCTTTGAAAGTTCTATTGTTTGCCTCTATCAACCAAGTGCATAAGGAAAGACGATGAAAGCAGCCCAGGAAAGGTTTCACAGTCTAGTCCTGAAAGTGGCACATTTCACTTTCACTAGTCTTCCCCTAACTAAAAGTTAGACAATTGGCTACATTCAACTGCAAATGTGGGGGGCAGCCATGTGATAGTAAGTGGTAGCTGAGATTATAACCTTCCTCTTTGGATTACTTACTCCGGCTCCTGTGTTCTTTCTAGTGCACCACACTGCATAGCTTCCCAAAATCCGAGTGGGAAAAATCACCTGAAAAGTGAACATTTCAGTTACTTATCAGGAGGTTTGGTTATGCTTTTCACAGCTTTAGGCAGAGGCTATAAATCACTGATCTAATGAATGAAAGAGCAACACATATAAAGAGGTGGAATTTTTTTTCTCTATTATTTTAGTGACAATTGATGACCTTGGGCAAGTCACTTAACGTCTCTGTCTCTTTGGCATTAAAATGAAACACTGTTTCATACCTCTTAGTACCCTCTCAGGCAAGACCTTTACAAGAAAACTAATCCAAAGCAACTCCAGTTTGCTTTTGAAACATTAAAGTTTTCTAGCAGCTTTGCAGAGACTGTAGATGCCCAGAGGACAGTCCTTCATTTTGTGTTCCAATAATTCCCACGTGCAGACTGAACAGTGAGAAAGAAAACTAAAATATAAATAGAGGGCTGTAGAGGTTTAATAAAATCCTCAGGAGTCTATGAGTTTTATCTTTATTCTAGTCACTTCAATCAGTTATTAATTCAGCCATTAAAAGCAAATTTTTAAAAATGAAACAAAAAATACTCTGTAATGACATAGAATATTTATAGTTTGCTAATAAAATGGCCCAGGCATAACTTACACATTTACTATACTTCTTATTACATTTTGAAGTCATTAAGTTTAAGTCATGTTTGATGTGCATTTTTAAATGAAAAAAATATATATAAAGAAAGACTGTTGTTCAAGTTTTATTGCTATTAAGTTTGAATGGTAGTTGAAAATCCAACATTTTGCAGATATGTTACACATTATGTAGGTGGAGACAAGGATATTTTAATGAAGGCTTTTTTCCCAACTCTAACAAACATAATTTCTTATATTGGCATGCATTCTTCCACATTAGGGCAGGCTTGGTGACCACCATAAATGAACGACGCAAAATATTCACATACATCAAATTGAATCAATTTCCCACTTAAAGTTATTCACTGGCTTTCTGTTTCAATCAGAATAACTCAAAATTCCTTATGCTGGTGCACAAGTCCCTCTGTCATCTGATCTTCATCTTCTCCTAGAACCTCATCTCCTTACTCTCTCCCTCGTTCATATTGCTGTTACTGTGCCTTAAACAGACCATCATTCCTCTCACTTCAAGTCACAGTTTTTGTTGTTTCCTCTGCCTGTAACATGCCATTTTAGTCACTCAGGTCTTAAGGCAAATGGTGTGGACTCAGAAGCCTTTTCTGGCACAGTCTCAAAAATAGCACGCTCCTGATCCTTGCATGTCACTACCCTAGTTTGTCTACTTAGTACTCACTTAACTTGTACTGATTCTTGAATTTTGTCATCATTTTATTGTGTGACTTACGTTTCTGGAATGACTGCTAATTCCACAGGGGCAGAGGACTTCTCAGAGTCAATCTTTTCCGTTCCTGTGCCCACAGTACCTAAAATGGCGTAGGTGCTCACTGCAATGATTTGTATATCCCAGTGTTCCTTTCTCCTAACTCTCTTATCATCCTGAACTTTTCCTTGATTATCTTGTGGTCCATTGATTGCTTTCTTTGTCTCTTCTGCAGAGATAAAGATGTTGAACAAATAGACTATTGGAGGCAATAATCTTAATAGGATACAATTTTGACAGAATAAAATGCATGTTATATAATCCAGAGAAGTTTAGAGGTTACAAAATATAATTAAGATTGCAAGCTCTGGGGCTCCAGAAATTGCCTTGAATCCCAACTGTGTCATTTACTAGGGGTATATCTTGGGCAGATTACTTAACCCATGCGAAGCTCTGTTTTTGCATCTCCAAAGTGAGGATGATAGTTTTTGCCTCACTGAGGTTGTTGTAACCATTAAATGAATCAGTACATTACCTCTATAAGCAAAACTTTTAGAGAATTGCCTGGCTGTCCATAAATGTTAATTTTCTTTTTCTTTTAAAAAATTTTTCAGCAATTCCAAAAGGAGTACAAAAGACTGAATGGACAATCTACCTAAATTGAAGAGAAATTTAGGAGCCGAACTGCTAAAAATAGCAACAGCTTATACTAATTTAGTGCATATTATATTGTTTCTGGCACTGATCTGATTGCTTTATATATGTTACTTCATTTACTTATCATACCAATGCTCTGAAGAAATTCTTATTTATGTCTCCATTTTAACATGGTGAAACCACAAGCATAAGGTCATACAGTTATGAAGTAACAGAGCCTGGATTTGAATTTAAGCACTTTGAGCTCTAGAGTTCTTGTTCTTGATCATTAGGTCATACAAGCATTTCAAACAAACAAAAAAATAAAACCTCTCTTCAATCAATATAGATCATGAAAATATGACAAAATAAAAGAATAAATTATTAAGATTTTTATATATGGAAATTTCTAATTCATATGCAGTGAAACATGCTTAGCATTTTTCTCCTTTCTATTGTAGATGTATCATTTAAAATGTGTAGATGCTTAAGAGTAATTTATAAACAGAAACATATTAACATTGTCAGATTATTTTCTCAAAACATAGGAAACTATAAAAGTATAGAACACTATTTAAAAGTCAATTGGAGTTTCCATAATCCCAGTTTATTTGATTTCATACTAAAATGTTCTCATATGGAGATAGGGTTGAAGACAATTTAGATTATCCAAATATAAAACATGGTGCTTTACATGTAGTGAATACTCTTAGTGGTAGGAACATTTCCTTTCTTGCTTAGCCCCTCCTTACATCTGTTTCTTTGGAGCAAGATTGTCTCCCTTTTATTTGCCAGATTTTTCATTACATTATTTTAGGCTTGTAGATCTAGCTGAAGTTAAAAGCTAAAAGCAGGCTTATGTAACTTGCTTATAATATGATTGTCTAGATTTATATATGAAGCCTATGTTTAACGTGTTAGAATTTGAAATTATTTTATAATAAAATATGGAAGCAGTTAGTCAATTATGTGTGTGCATGTGTGCATCCAATACCTCAAAGTCATGAAGCTATGTCTTAGTTACCCAATTATCCCAGTGAAAGGATGTGTTAGTCCATTTTCATAGTGCTGTGAAGAAATGCCCAAGACTTGGCAATTTACAAAGACAAAGAGGTTTAATGGACTTACAGTTCCACATGACTGGGGAGGCTTCACAATCATGACAGAGGCAAAGGAGGAGCAAAGGCACGTGTTACATGGTGGCAGGTAAGTGAGTACGGGCTAGGCAAACTGCCCTTTACAAAATCATCAGATCTCATGAGACTTATTCACTATCATGAGAACAGCATGGGAAAAAAAACCACCCCCGTGATTTAATTACTTCCCACCAGGTACCTCCCACGACATGTAGAGATTATGGGAGCCACAATTAAAGATGAGATCTGGGTGGTGACACAGTCAAACCATATCAAAGGAAGAAACTGAGAAACTGGTGGCTCTCTCTCTTTCTGTGGGGCAGCCTGAAGTTATAGGACACTCCTCATTATGTGATGCTGCTGAGGTAACTGTTGATACTTGCTGATGTATATGTTGCAAAACAATATTTACTCTTACACCCGCTGCAGCATACCCCGTTGTTTCTATTATCTATTGCTCTATAACAAACAATCCAAAAATGTAGTGGTTTAAAATAACCACCAGTTTACTTGGTTCCTGATTCTGTAGTCAGAAATTTGGGCAGAGAATGGTGGAAGTGATGTAGCTTGAAAAGGAAGAAGCAGGCTTCCATAGCTTTATTGAAGTTTTATATCTGAGGATTTGATTTTAGTGATTAATTGGTTTCTTTTTCTTTTTTTTTTTTTTTAGGATTTTTAGTATTTTAATACACTTCAAATCAGTGTGTCTGGTTCATTTCAGTTCCTTCACTGCCAAACCAGGGGGCAGGGACTGCTTCAGTTTCTCTGCCTTCTCTTTGTCCGTGATGACCAGGGTGTAAAGGTATCTGCTGCATCGAACTTTAAACTTCACATTGTCCTTATTTTTCTTGATTTTGACAGATTTGGCATCCTTTCGTCGGGCTGTGAGCAGAAAGTCCTTGATTTCCTCAATTTTCCGAGGCATGGCGACAAGGCGCGCAGGGAGCTGGCGCGGACCGGGACCTGGCAGTGGATTGCCCCAGATTACCCTTCTCACCCGCGTACCACTCGAGAGCGATTAATTGGTTTCTTAAGTTCACCTCCATGTGACCTCTCCACATAGCTACTTTGTGCTTTCTCATAGAAAGGTGGTCTCAGAGCTTCAAGAGAGTGCAATATATGAAGACTAAACCCAATGTATGTGCCTAGCAAGTGTCTGCTTGCGTCAGATTTTCCAATATCCCATTGGCCAAAATAAGTCACATAAGCAATTCCAGAGACAGTGAGAGGAGACTGTATAGAAAGTGAATACTGGGAGCCAAGGGTTTGTGTTAGCAACCAATGTAAATGTTTTCTATAGACCATCTTTTAATATAAAAAAAAATTAACAGATCTCTTATATAAAAAATACATGATATTTCTCCCCAAACCCTCAATATCATATTGCTTTATGGTGTCAGGCTCAGCATCTTGTCATCTAAATAAGGTTTAGGTGCAAATGAGGATTTTTAGATGCAGTTCTGCCTCCAAACACCCAATATTTAATGATGTAACAGTAATAGGAAAATGAAAGTATACCAGTCTAGTTAAAAAGTGGAGAACATATGGCACATAGCAACAACTGACCTGTAAGAATTCTGAAATCCATCCAGCCCCAGGGAGCAGGAAATGGTCCTTTATCATGGGCCAGTTCTGTATCATGGAATGATTCTGTCTGGATTTTCTTTTTGTTTTTGTTTTCTTCCCCCTGAGTGTGCCTTTGTTTTTCATAAGAAATGCTCTCCATATGCAAGCCTGTTGCCCACTTTCCAGGCCCAAGGCCAAAGTCACATGTTTTAGGTTTATGTTATAGCAACACTCCACTTCTAGTATCAATTTGTCTTACAGTTATCTGTTGGGACACAACAAACCACTCCAAATATAGTACCTTAAAACAAGAAATATTTATTTGTTTACAATTTTGTGGGTCAGAATTTTAGGCTAGGAACAGTAGAGATAGCTGGTACCTGCTTTACAATGTCTACGGCATACACTGCTAGGAGTGGAATGGCTCGGGCAGGTTAAAAGAGATCACCTAGCACCAAACACTTGGGATGTTGGATCTGGATATTGTTTCCATCTTTTGTTTTCTACCCATCGAGCTACCCCTTTGGCTAGCTTGCGTTTTGCCATAGAGAGTGGTTTTATAGATTCAAATGGAAGCATTTCAAGAAGACAAAGACCATGTGCAAGTACTTATCAAGCCTCCGTTTGCATCACATTACTAATGTCCCCTTGGTCATGCAAACCACATGGCCAACCTCAGAGTCACTGGGCAAGGGGTATACACAGGAGTGTAAATACTACCAAGTGTGGTTGATGGGAGAACAGCAATGGAACAATCTACTGCACCTACCTTGTGAAAGCATAGAAAGCTGCATTGAATTGTGTTTTTACCATTTGGTTTGTGTTATCATTGGAAAGACTCACTTATTTTGAGAAGAAAGAACATGTTCTCAATTCATCTTGTATAACAAAAGCTTCATTGTTAACTGGACTCAGGTAGTGCTCAGTTAATATTTGTTGAATAAGCTGAATGAATAAAATTCATGTATATCAACATTTCTAAGATGTGAGCTACAAATTCAATCTTGGAAGATTGAATAAATAGAGTTCCCTAGTCAAATTCTATGGTAGTTTGGTTACAGTATTGGTTCCCATACACGATTCTGTTCTGTATAAATGTCCTTTGTAATATAACTTTCATCAAGAGATAAAATCTTTTTCTCTTTTCCTTCCATCTGTGCTGCACTTGTGACTTACTTGGGCCAACAAAACACAGTGGAAGTGATGTATTGCAATTTTGAAGTATAATTCCAGAAGCTTAATATGCCTTTATTTTCTCCTTTGGAATCCTGCTTCTGCTCGGAGAACACGTCCAGGGTAGCCTGCTAGAAAACAGAAGACATTCACGTTGCCCCAGCGGAGGATATTAGATTGTTCAGTCTCTGACTGACCTGCCAGCTGATGAGATAAGCATGGACAAGTCCAGAGATCAGTGGTGTTCGGTCCCAGATAAGCAGAACTGTTCAAATTCCATAGATTCAAAGTTTTGGAGTAGTTTTTTATGCATCAGTAGTTAATGAATAAAAATATCTTAAAATTTACAATACTCATGAATGTAATATTAACAATGAGGAAAAAACCCTGCATAACCAAAACAATTACAATAAAACGTATCTAATTCCGTCTAACAAATTTCTCCAAATTACTTGGCGTTAAAACTTCATATGATCTGTTTTTTTAATATTAATGTATTAATTGCTATATCTCTGCTATAATAGTCTTTAGAGCACACTTTGGAAACTTCTGTAGAATTCAGCAATACCATGAAATTTAAAGTATTTTTCCCAGAAAATATAAAGTGGTGACATTTCAATCAATTTATTATTATTATTATTATTATTTGCAGTTGCAAGATTTAATAGAGTGAAAACAGAGCTCCCATAAAATGGGAGGGGACCCAAAGGGAGTTGCCACTCCCTGCTGGAATGCCTGGGTTTATATCCCAATGATTGTCCCTCTCCCTGTACTCTCAGGTGATATATGATTTGGGTATTTCTTTACCTCCTGCTTTAGGGTTCATATGTATTTTAGTGAACCCTCTTTACTATCTGATTGGTTGGGTGTGAGCTGAGTAACAAGCTAACACCTTGCTAGGTGCAGTTTGTGTTTAAGGTAGGTGCAGTCACCTTTCTCAGCTAGGCTTAGGGATTCTTAGTCGGCCTAGGAAATCCAGCTAGTCCTGTCCCTCAGTACCCCCTCTCAACAGGAAAACTCGAGTGCTGTTGGGGATGTTGGTGGACGACTGCTCTTAACTGCTTCCTGCTGAATTGGGGCGTAGTAGGGGTCATGCAGTTGAGATTTCCTTGGGAGGGGTGACTTCTATGTCACCAACTTCAGAGCATGGACTAGCAGGCCGGTTCAGGGGTCTGCAGTAGATCTACAGTAGATCTTAATCAGGGACTATATCTGGGGCTCCATTTGACGAATCATTTGTGGTTTTACAGTTTCGATTTTGGAAGAGACAAACTTAACAAGGAGGTTAAAGACACAAGGATTGCAATGTATGGCCTGAAGGGCAGGGGCATAGGGGTATGGGGATGAAAGTGGGGTTTCCTTTAGAAAAACTCCTATACCACAGGGAATCAATATTTCTGAGAAGCCACATTCTCCATAGAAGCTCTTGGTAAGGGGAGCTCCTGGTAGTACAGCAGCATGGAGGGGGTGTAATAAGAGTTAAAGGGGGTAAGAGAACAGTAAAAAGAAAAACATGACAAGGGAGGGCCATGGGGATCTATGATTCTAGTTACTTTCCTCACAGTTGTCCCTTGAAGAACAGGCGCAGATCCTCTAGAGGTTCACAGGAATAGCTAGCACTGTCTCTTGGGATTTTCGGGTTCTTTTGGCAGTATCCAGGGTTTTACTTGAGTTTGATGTGTCCAAGACTCCACTCCAGCCACTTTAACCATGGTTGAGGTAGATAAAATGACTGGGTAGGGTCCTTTCCAGGATGTGTCTAGGGATGGGGAATTAGAGGGAAGGGACTTGACTAATACCGTGTCACCAGAGTGGAATAATTCCTTTCCCTCCTCTCGGGGGCAGGTTATCTGTAATATTTTAAGAACTTGTTGATATTTGGCTAAGGAGGTGATGTCTGCAACTAAGTTGGCCGTCTCTCGGTCAAGCACAAGGTCATTGGTTAGGAAGGGCCGTCCATACAGCATCTCGTATGGACTAAGTCTCGCTTTTTGGGGAGAGTTTCAGATTCTTAGTAAGGCTATAGGCAACAGAGCAGACCATGCGAGGTGGGTTTCTTGGGTTAGCTTTTTTAGATGTTGTCTGAATGTTTCATTCATTTTCTCAACTTTTCTTGAGGATTGTGGTCTCCAAGCGCAGTGTAAGTGATATTGTATGCCTAATACCTGGGATACTCCCTGGGTTACTGTAGCCTTGAAAGCAGGGCCATTGTCACTCTGTAAGCCTCGGGGAAGTACGAATGTGGGAATTATTTCATGAATTAGTGCCTTCATTACCTCTTGGGCCTTTTTTGCTCTTCAAGGGAAGGCCCCGCCCAACCAGTGAAAGTTTCTACCCAAACTAGTAGATAGTGAGATCCCTGAGATTGGGGCATGTGGATAAAATCTAGTTGCCAGTCTTCTCCTGGGTAATGGCCTGTTCTTTGTCCTCCTGAAGGAGCTTGATGATAAGGCAGGGGATTATTTCTTTGGCATACTTCACAGGCCCTGTCTATCTGCTCGACAGTTTTGAAAAGGCCTGGTCCAGTAAATAATAATTTGGCCATTTGATGGGTGCTATCAATGCCTAAGTGAAAGGTTTGGTGAAGGGTTTTAAATAATTTCCATTGGTTAGCTGCAGGCAAAAGTATTTTTTCTTCTTCGGTGGCTAGCCATCCTAAGGGGAGGAAACTACGTCCTCATGAGGTTCCCCATTCTATTTCTCTTGCCGAGTACTGGGGCTTGGTTTCCTGGAGGGGATTTCCCAGTACTAGGGGTCCTTCTATAAGCATTTCTAGTGGAGGGCCCCACCTTGTGGCTCTTTTGGCTTCAATATCTGCTTGGCAGTTTCCTTCTATTTCCCTTTGGTTTCCTTTCTGATGACCCCAGCAGTGTAAGACTGCCACCTCTTTAGGTTTCTGTACAGCCAATGAAATCTCCTAATGGCTTCTGATGTTTGATAGGTGCTCCCTTGGAAGTTAAGGATTCCCTTTCTCTCCATATTGCTGCATGGGCATGGAGGATTAGGTGAGCATACTTAGAGTCTGTATATATACTTACCCTTTTTTCTTCTCCTAATTCTAGTGTATGATGGCCCTTGCTTTTGTTAGGATCTCTCTTCCTAACAAAAGAGTGGGGCTTTCAGTCATAATTAGAAAGGCATGTGAAAAGAGAAAAATTCCCCATTTGCAACTTAGTGGCTGGAAGAAGTATGTAGCGACTACCTGTCTTAGGACCCCTCGGATATTGACAGATCTGGAGGACAGTTGTGTGGGACAGGAGAGTAAGACTGAGAAG